CAGTGTGTAGGATTTACTGGCATCTAGCAGTGCTGTTACAAGTCGCAACTCCATCACTTCACTCCCCCCTTCCAAGCATCAATAAAAATCTGGAAAGTAAGTAAAGTTGTCAAATAAATGTAATGGAGTAAAATGATAAAGTAGAAGTAGCAGAAAACTGAAACACTCCAGTAAAGTACATCTACTTAGTTAGTTTTCACCATATTGGGTCTGTGGCTTTGGCATAGTTTTCCAACTTTAGTGGCCAGTGAATGAATGGCTGTATGCAGGAATGAATGACTGAATGACTGAAGTTATCTTGTTTATTTATGTATATATATATATGACTGCAAGAATCAGTGAATGAATTAAATAATGATAGATGGCTGAATGGATGAATTAATGAATGAATGAATGAATCTCTTGGTGGAGAACAATTGTGACCTAAACCACATCAAACAAACTGAAATGAATGAAATTAGACTGGAAGACTAACTTGAAGGAAAAGGTACTACATCTTTCATTTAGTTATATACGATAACAAATCCATAAAAACACTTGTGCTTTGCGTACTTCTCTGTATTTAGTTTGGATCACATAGGCCTCAAGCAATTATAGCTGGTCCCATCCCATCAGCCAAAATTGAGCAACATGTGTTTGTCAGTTCTTTGTGCCCGGACAGTATGTATGATATGCATAGCTGAAGAAAACTTTTAAAGCCTTGGATTTAGACAGATGAGGTGCCCACACACACATACACAATACTCATACACACAGTTGTCTTCTTGTTTTAGCTATAGGGTCAGTGGGGCTAGCAAGGGTTAAAACCATAGGACTATTTCACACTTGCTAATTGCTCCATATGCACACATGGCCACAGAGGAATGTAGACTCACTGTGGATGGAAGACAACATTACCAACATTTATCAAGGTTTTGACAGCTGACACAACAACAGAGGAAAAAAAAACACTGAAGATTTCATCATGCTTATTTCCTGAAACGTCCACTGGCAGCATCACAGACGCCACCACAAGATGATTTGATATCATGTCACTCCGTCTGTCCCGAATCAAACTGCTTTTCTCTCCCTAAGTGAAAACCTATTGGCAAATTAAGCGTGTAAATTGCTCTCTATAGATTACATTGTGTTTGTCTTTTCTAGAAGAATTAAAGTTCTCATTCCTCCCTAAGTCAGCTATTTTCTCATTTTCATTGTGTTTCTTAAAGCAAATAGGTATTTAAATAAATATACTCGAATGTAAAGACATTAATAAAACAATGTCAAAGTGAGTTGCATGCAATGTTGGATTACTCTCTTGCACACAGATAATAACACAAAGATTTTTGTCCTCACCGGCATGCAGGGTTGATGGCGTTGTTGGTGTTTGAGATGTGGTTGGTTTTACCCGCAGCCACGTTAGGGGTGCCGGTGTTGATCTTTGGCGTTTTCGGGTGAGCTGCGTCCCCTGAGCCCTGTTGTTGAGAGCCCCGGGATTTTTTCTCCTCCAACATGGCCAAAAGTACACATACAAATACAAACACACACAGATGTATATACAGTACACACTTTAATCTGTCTCGTCTTCAGTCACACGCATGGACACATACACGTCTACTTTTGAGTCAGTCAGGTTTGTTGGTTGGTAAGCATGTGAAATCCAAAGATAAGTTCCAAAATGAACAAGTAGATAGTGAAGAAGAGGACTTTTCTCTTGCTATTTTGTTTGAATTATTTCCATGTTTAAAAGGAAGTGTTTTTAATCCTCAAGTTTTTTCCAAAAGTCATTGGAGATGAATTCCTGAGGTAGGAAATCCTCCTGCAGTTCTGGAAAATTAAGGAAACAGATCCACTTCCACAGCAGGCTTGCAACAGATCATTACCCTCTGATTTTAATACTGGATGAAAAAACAAACGCAAAAACTAAAAAAACTAAACAAATGCAAAAGTTGGAAAATCTTTCCAGTTTCCCCAATTCCTTTGATATTCCCGTATTCTGGAATTTCAGGCGTCCCAGAACCCAGGTGTTCAGGAACTCAAGTGTTTCGGATTTCTGATGGCTCTTCAGCCTTTAGTAGCTCAGCAGGATTTGAGCCGAGACTGAAACGCTGCCCGGTACTATACCCGTCCCTCTGAGCCAGCAGCTGGAGAGTGGGAGAGAGAGCGCGAGAGAGATAGCGAGAGAAGGAAGCAACCAATATAGTTTTAAGGGCAAGAGAGGGTGAAAAAGATATGTGTGTGTGTATAAGTTCTAATAAAAAAAAAATAAAAAAAGAGTAAAAAAACCAACAACAAAAAACACTTATTAGTACGATTAGATGATTTCTTGTACACACACTAATCCCCCCCCCTCTCTCTCGCCATCAAGACTTCCTTGGTTGCCTCTCTCTCTATCCCTGTGTGTCTCTTTGTTAGGGGCATTTTGATGGAGACCAAATTGGACGAATCTGTGAAGGCTTAACTCAACTCTTCAAAGAACAGCATCCTAGCCTTTCGTCCTGGGAAACTTTTCAGAGTTGACATACACAGAAATAAATTGACAGGTGTGTTAATAAGCTAACAATTAGCCTGTAAGCATGCCAGTTAGGCTTTAATCTCCAAGTCAGTCACTGGTTTTATAGGTGGAAATGTTGACGATTGATATTTGCTCGCACTATTCAATTAAAGACATTTCTTATTTTGGATTTGGAAACCATAGGGAGACTCAAGAGTAGTAGCCACCGCTATTGAGGTTCAACAAAATATAGCGAAAAAAGGCATCAGGTCTAATATATGACTCAGATTTTAGTTGACGAAATGTTAAAACTTTGTTTATTCTATTAGGTATATATTTTTACAGTTGGAGAATGTAATAAGCACTTGAGGCCTACAACAATGATATTTTCATTTCCATATAATGTCTTTTTGTCAAAACCAGAGAAAGCCACTTAAGAGCAAGATGTGGCTCCGGGGCCCCTCACTCGATAAAAGGTCAGAGCGTCACCAAACAGGTTTGTTGCATTCTAAATCTTTTGGGGAATAAAGTTGATCAATGTAATGAAAAGCATTGTGAAACTGTACTGGGCTCTGATGGAGTCCCCTACCTCACTGCCCCACTGAATGGAGACCTCTAGTGGTTCTCAGCAGTAAGTATATAAGCAGAAAAGTGGAAGGGCACCCTGGTAGCTCACCTGTTAGAGCACGTACCACCTACCAGAGTCCTGCAGTGGTTTCAAAAAAAGTTGTTTATTAACTTCTTAAACACATACAAAATTTAAAAATATTATGGTGGATAAAAAAAACGTACTAATGTAGTCTTTAAATATGTTGCAATAAAAACAATTTAAGCATAAAGTTGTAAAGCATAAAGAAGGAATAATAATACTGTATGAAGCTCACTTCCCTAATTTTTGCTCAATTCTCATTTGTAACATTGTATTCTCTCTGTATTCTCTGCAATTAGTGTTTGTTTAAGTTTGTTTTTACCTACTTATTTGTAACTTTTACCTGTCCGCAGGTGTCCGAGGAAATAATTTTACTGTTAAAACCGATTAACACCAACTTTTCGGACGATTCATGCTTGCCGGTTTTAGCTTTCAGGGACCAACAGGGGCCATTATTTACTGAGAAGGTTCCCTGTGAACTCAAAAACAAGAAATGTTACTTTAAATATTGGCGGTCTTAGTTTCTTGAATATATCTTGTATTGGAAACACTAAATATTCAGTATTTCATTGACAATAATCACCACAACCCGTCATACTTATCACCTATAATTGAAAATAAGAGACATTTGAGTCAGAGGACCTTGTTAAAAGTATTACTTTGCTTTACATTATACAAAAAAAAACCAAAAAAACAATCCATCCACCGGAGTAATATTGACAAAAACATACAGTAGTAGTACATCAGTGCAATGTAGTGCAACATGTTTCACAGTCAGCGGGTACTTACATTAATCAGCCACAAGGGAAGCAACAGCTCTGATAATTCTGTACAGACCAAAAATAATCAACATCCACTGAATATATATTTACACTTTAACAGAGAACGAGACACTGTAACAGGTTTTAGTAGCGTGTCAGCTCGTTTCAGTTTGATTCAAATAAGACGGATGTGATTTAAAAAGAGAGAAGATAAATAAATAAACCAATCCCTGTGTGTGCTTCAAGTGGTTTGTATCAGTGACTCGAACAGGTAAAACTTGCAGGTTTCAGTTTAAAAGCATTTAGCAGAATATGAAGAGTTTATTTCTGAAATATGTTATATGTTGAATTATCATTTTGTCAGCCTAAGTATCTTTGATATGAACAACACATAGGTAAATTAAATTAAATGCCCCTAAATCCCTGTGTGAGATGATATGAAGGCTGACATGCTACTAGACTAACTTTGATATAAAGAAAACATAAAGAAAATGACGCCACTTGCTCTGAACTAATGCCTGTCTATCGTCTCTGCTTTTTTACAACAAGCATGTTTTAAATATTGTCAAAATAGCACATTTTAATCACACATAAACTCTCCTCAGGATGTAAGAAAGCCCTCCTGCGTGAATAAAACATTTACAGCAGTTAATTCAAGCACTTAACCCTAATGATCTTTCCATTTAATGAGCAATGCCCCCTAAAACAAAACGCATATGTGATTCCTTGAAAAATAAAACTGTATTTAAATGATATGTTCGCTTTGAGTTTATGTGGTTAGAGATGTTTTCAGTACTTTGTGGTTTATTCATATGGTGATCCCAAAAAAACTGATTATAGTTTTCTTAAATAAATCAGCATGAATTTGAGTTTAATCGCTGAAGTATCTGTTAAAAGAATAGTTTGGGAAATACACTTATTGACTGGCAAGAGTTTGATGAGAAGATCGATACCACTCAGGA